CATCCAGCCTTCTTCCGATATCAACTCTCTCTCTCTCTCTCTCTCTCTCTGTCTCTCCTATCCTGAAGAATCTCATCGCCCTTATCCCATCCTCCAGGGCCCAGCCTCTCCACCATTTACCCTCTGAAGCTGGCACTCTTAGCCGCGTCTCCCTCCTCTAAGGTTGGCATTTTCTCTCTTATCATGTAAATTTGTTGCGTGACTGGGCCGAGTGCTTCCCCACACACTACACCTAGATTGGCCAGGTGATGTGTGTATAGCGAGAGGAACGGGAATGAAATACGGCTATTCTTCATAGTGTGTACCCACAGCCGGGTGATCGTGGGGGCCCTCACCTCTCTGGCTAGATATTGAAGGTTGTAAAATTCAAGGTTTAAAGGTGAACTGCTTGTGTGTGTGTGTGTGTGTGTGTGTGTGTGTGTATGTCTGTGTGTCTGTGTCTGTATCTTGTCTCTGTCTCTTGTCTGTGTGTGTGTCAGCTCACAGAGGGTCGTGAGCATACATCAGTATACATTCGTACAAGTATTATACACTATGTCTTGATAAGCTCTTGAGAATGTATATCTATGAGTCTTGTTGTAAAGCAAGTTTGGCGGAGATGCATTAAGTTTATATCCCCGGGGCGCCTCTCCTCACCCCACTACCTGTCTGGGCATTATGAAGCTGCAGAGTTTTGTGGCCTGCTGTGTAGACCAGTGCTGTGTAGACCAGTGCTGTGTAGACCAGTGCTGTGTAGACCAGTGGCTGGCCTTTTGTGTAGACCAGTGCTGTGTAGACCAGTGCTGTGTAGACCTCTGGCTGGCATATGTTACTGTGTAAACGAGTGACTGAGTTTTATATCGTGTCGAACAGAACAAACCTTAGTTGTGCTCACTGTATTGCAACGTGTCCGGTGTTTACAGGATGCACGCGGCTCGGGGATACAGCACAGCACATAGACCGTCCGCAGCGACACGTATAACCTCCACAAGCCACGTGTCAATTTGGCTGTACACGGCAACAAAAGGTGTCACAGTAGGGGGAGGGCTGGTGGACGGGTGGGAACTGTCAAATATCTTCCCAACTGAATGATTCCTAGATTGGCTGAAAGGTCAAACATTGTCTCTACACTTTCTGAAAGATATTAAATAGAATTGGGTTTTTTTTCGAGTAATTCTGAATAGCGTAAAGTTTCTAGTCTATATTTACGAGAATTTTCACGGGTCTAATGAAGGTATTAATGATGGAGGTAATTAGGTAATGCTTCTGTTGTTATAACTTAACTCGTTTAAAGGGAGCATCATCAAGTACCACATTATCCCTGAGTGACTAATGCTTAAAAAATCCAGATCTATTCAACGAAGTAAAAACAAAGCCGTACTGTCGACAGATCCCAAACATTGTCTAATACACTTGGTGATGTCTAGTGTCCAAGTGACGAATTTATCATCAATGTTATTTTTTGATGAGCTTCCACAAAAAGATTTTCGTCAGATTTTTAGCAATTAACTTCGATGTTATTGTCTCCTATGCAACCACCCTCTCTCTCACGGTCTTGTTCTTTGGCTGTCTGATTATTTTAATTTTTCCCACATTAGTCATTAGTTAAGAATCACATCTGGATTACAAAAACATAATTCTTTAACTCTTCCTGCCTCTCTTTCTTTGTATTCCTCTCTCTATTTCTATCGCCCTTTCTCTCTGTTTTTGTGAGTTTGTCTCTCTTTAAAAATAACATAAATCAGAAAATTTGAGACAGGTATAGAAACATAACCTTTTACTATCTAGCTCACAGCTGTTATCTTCCAAACTCCTTTTAATCCCAGTTCTTACGACACAGTTAAATCTATGAAAGAATTATATTACAAGCCATCTGACAGCCGGAAACCTCAGCTGATCTCTCCCCCTCTCTCTCTCCTTATGTAATCTCAGTGACCACCAGAAAAGAACTCAGCGACTACAGGAGTTACAAAAACCACATATTAGTAAGTAGTGTTAATTAGTACATACATAATTATACACAGATATTGTCTCCAGAGCGAATGATACGCTAAGGGAAGTGAGATAATTGTTACCTTTGTATGTTCAGTTTTTAGTAAGTTCATAAAAACAAACCAATTGATTTTTTGTCTTACTTGGTTTTTAAAGCTTTTATTTCTGGGATTAACAAAGTAAAGATAATTCAAGGGGATAAACTATAAGACACAAGGGATGGCACCGTCGCCCAGGGCCCCATGTGTTAAGGTGGACATCAGAGTAACTTTGGTAATATAAACAGAGACAGCGCCTGGAGAGCAAATCCCTGGATATGTTGCTTAATCCACATCCCGCTGACGTATAGTGGCTGGAGGCTAAACTTTCGAGGTCTTAGCTGTATCCACCTCAAGGAAAGGATGATTAATCCAATACCACATAAAGACACTGACTCGATAAAACAACTTTACCTTTGACGATATACAATAAATTACTGTAATATAGAAGTTCTCATTATATTAAGATTCTACGCTTGATATTAAGTGATCTCTTACAAGCTATAGGCGCATCTTAAGCATTAGAAAATACTAAGGAATATTAACAGCGACTTGGAAGGCATTTGTTGATGTTTTATTGAAGACATATTTCTCTGGTCAAATGGTAATATCTAATACAGTATTTATTTACGGGTTATATGTAGTTGACTCCAAACTGCAAGAATTACATGATCTTCAAATATGTTCATTGAACTCTGGCTGAAACTGTATCTTGAGAACTGTATAATATACATTTCTCAAGATACAAGTGACTTCATATTATGAAGCCACTTGTAGGCACATCAATAATCTCATGAGAAAGGAAGAAAAACCAAGATTAATCAATTTAATGCTGACTATAATGCTCACTGGACCATCCTAACCTAGAGTCCAGGCAAGGAGTTTACTCTTTCTTACTCCAAAATAATCTCTCCAAAATTGTAAATTATTTAAACTGTTGAAAGCAAACTAGAATTTATAGTTTGTACCTGAAGAATTATTATAATGATACTAAAACCAACAATTAATACACTGTTTAATCTGTGTATGACTCTCCCTAACCTTTTTGTCATTAAACTTACTCTGAAAATATAATAATTTTATGTACCGAATATTATTTAGCCAAATACACTGCAATGCTAAGGTATCCCATATTGCCGTCAGGAGTCAAAGAAAACGATCATTTATCCTTAAACTATAGAAAACGTTTATGGAAAATTAATGTATGTATAACTTGTCTAGTTTAAACCTTTGATTAAAACGTGCATAAGTACTGATGTATTTTGACTATATTGGTAATAATATAAAGTCGTAAGAGATATTATATAATGGGGCTGATTTGATATATGGTGTATAAATAATCAAATAATGGCGTATAGAGGAGCTATTTGGACGTCAGTAGCTGGGGATACTATGACAACGCTATGTGGAGTTCATAACTGGGTATCTATCTGTGCTGTGGATGGCTAACGAACCAGTGAACTTAAGTGACGAAGTTGATGCTGTGTATATCTGCAAGTTTCATGGTTTTAGATACCGAAAGAGAATACTTATTTTGAGGAATAAATAACTGTTTACTGTATATAAATCTCAATCACATTATTGTTTACACTTACTGTATACTTTATTTTAGTTTACTTTATCCTCATTGATATTGATTGGTTGTCTGCCACGTCTCTGTTACACACTGTTGGCAAGTACTGGGCATGTGTACTGACTCCTGAATCTATCTGTACCTGCACCAGTGTTGGTTGATATCTAGGTTATAGAGTGAAGCCTCCACATAACGGACTTCTATCTATATATATAATCCGTTAAATGGGGGTTTTCATAACGGACCCTTGATATAATGGACTTAAATCGCTATGTAGTTCGTTAGATGGAGGTTTCACTTGTAAAGGATCCGCTATATAACGGATTTTCTTTTCCAGTTAGTCCGTTAAATAGAGGTTTCACTATATTGAAGATTCTTAATGAGTATTTATATAGGAGGAGGATGAAGACAGAGAGACTTTGAAGAACAAGAATTAAAAAATACGAATAATTGAGAGAAGAGGAAGAAGGTGATTGATTTTTGGAAGTTATTGAAGGAAGAAAAAGATAAAGAAGAAAAAGGGAACACTAAAAATAACAAATAAGAGAACAAGAAGATACTAAACCTTTTAAAATAATTAAAGGTAGAAGAATAACAAGAACAAAACGATGAACATGTAAGTAACTTAATAACTTTAGGTATTTTTAGTTATTTTTTTTGTTTATCTGTTTACCTTTTTATTAAGATGCTGCAATATATTGTTTGTTGATTGTTTAATTTTATATGATAAGATGAAGTGAATTCCAGTGTGTAGAAAAGAGTGGAACTTAAAGTAATTATTGGCAACCGAGTGATACACAGGTGTTAGCATGTATGCGGGAGTGCCAGGTGGGGTGATGGGGGAGTGCCAGGTGGGGTGATGGAGGAGTGTCAGGAGGAGGTGATGGAGGTGACAGTGTCAGAGGGGTGATGGGAGTGCCAGAGAAGGTTATGGAGGAGTGGCAGTGCCAGGAGGGGGTAATGGGGGAGTGCCAGGAGAGGGTGATGGGGGAGTGCCAAGAAGGGGTAATGGGGATTGACAGTGTCAGGAGGAGGTGATGGGGGAGTGTCAGGAGGAGGTGATGGAGGAGTGCCAAGAGGGGGTAATGGAGGAGTGCCAGTAGATGGTAATGGGGAGTGCCAGTGCCAGGAGGGAGTAATGAGGGAGTGCCAACCATATATTATATTTCAGGGAGAAAATAATATCAAATTATAGCCCCGTGGAGTAGATGGGACTTGAGATAAGTGTTAGATGGCACTTGTAATACCATAAGGAAAGTGCCAGGGTATAAGTGCCACTTTAGAGGGGTGCCAATAGCAGAGTATCAGAGAGGGAGAAGGTTGATAACTAGGATCTTCACATGTGGGAAGGGGGGGGGGGCAATAGACATTACCTTGAAGCGAGTTTTCATGTTGTAATCATTCAGTTAAGGTGGACATTTGGTGGTGTGTGGTTGCGTGGTGCGATGCTGTGCTTTCCTCTGACACTCTGAACAGTTCTACTCTCTACTACTTACAGTCTACAGTTTGAGGTATATTCTCAGATTACAGTTTAGTGGTTCTCAGATTACAGTTTAGTGGTTCTCAGATTACAGTTTAGTGGTTCTCAGATTACAGTTTAGTGGTTCTCAGTTTACAGTTTAGTGGTTCTCAGATTACATTTTAGTGGTTCTCAGCTAACAATTTAGTGATTCTCAGTTCATAGTTTAGTAGTTCTCAGCTCACAGTTCCATAGTTGACAGTCCATAATCCAAAGTAACAGTTAAAATCTATCAAATCACAGTCCACAGTTACATTACTCTAAGGTGATTCCATAACTACGACAACCTAACCTACCCGAGCCTAACCTACCCATACATGACAGTCGCACAGGATCTGACAGCCAAACATGACTCAAGAACAACAGGAAGATGACTCGTGGTGAGAGATTAACTTGAAGGGAAAAAAGAATATTGACATCATCTTCTACACAAGTAAACAATGAAACACAGGCAGGAGTATACAGTATATAGGGTGACCCAGAAAAATGTCACTCCTTCCCTCCCTCACTCCTCCCTGTCTCCCGCCCTTCCTGCTCCCTGGGACACTGTAAGGTGGAGGGAGGGATATTTTTCTGGGACATCCTATAAACATTGTGATGGAATATTATAATGTAAATGATATAGTAACATCTCAGGCAGAGGTTATGGTGTCCACAGTATATAATTATTTTGGTTTTAGAGAGAATCCTTAAACCTACAGACGCTTACCAGACAATAGAATGCCTGAATACATAAATGTAAATATTAATGCGCCTTGTGTAAACTTTGGGAAAAATACACCCACACACATACACCCCCCCCACACACGTACACCCCTCCCACACACGTACACCCCCACACACACATACACACACATAACACACATACCCCCGCCCACACATACATATATATATATATATATATATATATATATATATATATATATATATATATATATATATATATATATATATATATATATATATATATATATACTGTACATAAAAAAATTAAAGAGAGTTAGACAAGTGAGTGACTGGTGTTTGAAAGGTTACATGTGTGGATGATGTGTATACTTGTGCTTAAAAAGTGTGAATTTTACACACGCACACACACACTAACATACAGGAGGATACACAATACGATTTAATAAGAGACAGTAAATTTCACATATGTTCTCAGATGGTGAGTCTCTTAGATATTGCGTTGCTATTTGAAACACTTTTGTGTTATTTCTTCACTGGGTTCTTGACTCTTTAGTTAGAAGGATGAAGCTAATTTACGGATCAGAGAATACACGGCTCATAACCTAACCTAACCTTAACTCTGCTATCGTCACTACACCTAATATTTTTGTCAGAGAGAGTTATAGGTACTGCAGGGTGACCGCTATAGACAGTGGTCGTAATAGCCAGAGTGGGAGGTCGTTGTAGCCATAAGATAGTCGAGGAAAAAGGTCGCTATAGAGAGGGCGGGTACTATGGAGTGGTCACTATAGAGAGGGCGGGTACTATGGAGTGGTCACTATAGAGAGGGCGGGTACTATGGAGTGGTCACTATAGAGAGGGCGGGTACTATGGAGTGGTCACTATAGGAAGGGAAAGTATTATAAACACTGGTCCGTTTAGATGAGTTGTGAGCTATAAGAATAGTGCTGGGTTATGGCAGGGTGGGGCACTATCTGGTCAATGTGGCCATGGTGGACATAGTGGGACAAAACATAGCAGCTATAGACTAGGTGGACTGTATGATATGGCCCATTGCTACTCTAAGGACAGGTGGCTTTAAGGACAGGTTGGTCACACCTGGCGTGATAAATGATAAAGGTGTTAAACATGTGTGGTCGATGATGATGGTCCATGTAGGTATGTTTTGACTTCAATTGGGTCTATTCAGGAAGCTCTTATGTGTACAGGAACCGTCATACTTAATGTAACCAAAATAAATCACCATTATCGTGTTAACTATAATACCAGTTACGAGTATAGTGCCACCCTTGAATTCTGGAAATACGCTCTTAAAAATGTCAAGTGCCTTACGCCTGTCTAAAATGGTCAATCTAAGTTATTTTACACAGCTTATCTGAGTTCTATACAACAGCTATCTTGAGGACCCCAAACTAAACTAGACAGTACAGGCATACAACATTGGTAAAGCGTAAAGCAATCTAACCAAGGGTAACCAAGGATAGCCACCAGATGTTTATATCCTATAGAAGCCAATGTTATAGTATAGCTATAGTAGTAAGAATTAAGTTATTTAAGTTAATTTGTTATCGTCACAAGACATCTCAAACCAAAACTACTACACCTTGGCTTCACAGGTATGAAGCGAGGGACTTTATTGCAGATATTGGCAGCTATGATGTCAGGAATGGTTCTTTCCTTCCTCGGTGTCATTCCATCCCTCTTCATCGCTCCCAGGAAAACCAGGTACTGATACAAGACTTGTTAATGGGTGTTTTATAAGGCTGATATAGTGTACTGTGTGTGTGTCTTGATGTTAAGGTGATACATATTCTTATCCTTATCACCCTCCTTCTTTTTCTTCTTCTTTCCATCATCTTTTATTTTTTTCTTTCTCTTTCTAACCTTCCTCACCTTTCCAGTTATATTCAGTACTCTCTCTCTCTCTCTCTCTCTCTCTCTCTCTCTCTCTCTCTCTCTCTCTCTCTCTCTCTCTCTCTCTCTCTCTCTCTCTCTCCCTCTCTCTGTCATTGCGATTATCCTGTTACACCATCCTATAAAAGAACTGACCTTTGAACCTCTCTGTTTAGGGTTGCAAATCCACTGACCCACGAGGATATGGATGACGAGTTAATTCCTAATGATCCCCTGGTCGATCACAACCCCCAAGAGATACACCATCAAGGTAATTAACCATAACACACACCTGCTACCATAACCTCATCACCTCCCCTCACTGCCACACATGCATCTCCCCTTTTAACCAGTGTGTGAGCGTTTAGTTGAGGTTTCGTTGATCTAATTTAACATTAACTTACCTCATATGATATTGATATAAAGGTTAAGTTAAGAGATAATGTTGTATTGTGTTGTGTCAGGGGAGGACGTAGAGGCGGTCAGGTTGGCAGAGAAGGTGCGGGTGTTATGCTGGGTGATGACTCGGCCGGAAACCCACCAGAAGAAGGCAGTCCACGTCAAGGCCACCTGGGGGAAGCGATGTAATAAACTGATCTTCATCAGCTCACAGAATGGTTAGTCACTCTCAATGTATCAATACACGAACTGCTTTTTTCTCTGATATGTTATACTATAGAAGTGAATATTGTATTTTGTTCTCTATGTTTATATAAAAAGAGAAGAGTAGCACTGATATTGAAACTTGTATTCTTTACAATATTTTGCATACGGGTAATGTCACACCACACTGAATCTAACTTATGAAAGCAACAATAATAATAACTGTTTCCTAGAATTCAACTTGTCTTTTTTTTTCTCTTCTAATATTGTCCAGTCTGTTACAACCAGTGTTAATACTCTGATACTTGCTCTTCATAATCTCTATTCTCAAATTCCATACATCAGTTATAATCTTATGAGCAAAATATTACAGTCATCTTACACGTCTATTACACGAGGGAATTTCCACAGACATGAACATTGGAGCTATCGACGTGGGTGCTGGCGATGGACGTCAGTTGTTATGGGGAAAGACTAAGGCTGCCTTCCAATACGTTTACCAAGAACACCTCCACGAATACGACTGGTTCTTAAAGGCCGATGACGACACGTAAGCTGGCCCAGAACTAATACCCTGATTATACAGTAGAAATAATACACAAGACAATTTCCTTATGAGGTGTTGGTATTTAGTATAATCTTAAATAAAGGAAATATCTTGTACTATTTTATTTATTTTTATTGTTTTAGTTATCTTAATCAAATATCACCTGGCATTACACCTGTCGCCTCCTGCAATTACCTGTTATTTACCTTCACTCACCTGTGCTCCCTCAGGTACACCATAATGGAGAATTTGCGTTATATGTTGTCAGCCTACGACCCTGATTACCCCATCTACTTTGGCTCAAGGTTCAAGAAGTTCACCAAACAGGGATACATGAGTGGAGGTAAGACTCTACGTGGGTGAGACTCCGTGGGTGTAGGTGGGTGAGACTCCGTGGGTGTAGGTGGGTGAGACTCCGCGGGTGTAGGTGGGTGGGTGTGTGTGTGTGATCTATGCTTAGACAATAATAATGCCTTGTATGTTTTTGTGTTTATTAAAATGTTATTATATTTTGTATTATTCATACATATTTATTTTTAAGACAAATTCTATTACTGCAATTAACTGTTTTTGCGGTTATAAGATCTAATAAATTGTTTCTTTCTATATATATATCTTTACCTACCCTTGTCTCTCTCTTTTTTCACGTCTCTTTTATCTCTAAGTATCTCTTTCACTACCCCGTGTCATAGGAGGAGGCTACGTGTTAAGCAGAGAGGCCCTGAGGAAGTTCGTAGAGGAGGCTCTGCCGGATGAGGCCTTATGTAAGATAAGCAACTCAGGAGCTGAAGACGCTGAGATGGGTCAGTAAGAAAGATGCAAAGTTGTTTTTACCTGAAAATTAAGGATAATAGACAAGACTCACTAGTATACTCTACGTGTGAACCTTTGACGTGAACACCTTGATTAAAAAAAAAAAGGTTTCCATCATTGAATATGTCAGATTAATGTAGAAATATATACGGAGACACTTTAATGTTTTCTTTAATAACACTGAGCACTTTGATAGCAGAGGTGGTTGGTTACAGGGAAATGTCTGGATAAAATCGGTGTTTTGGCTGGTGACTCCCGAGACAGTCTGGGGCGAGGACGCTTCTTCCCCTTCAACCCTATAGCACACCTCACAGGCAGCGTCCCTAATTGGTACTCTGAGTATGTGTACTACAAGCCTGATACGGTACGACCACTGTTAACTATGTACACCCACGAACAAAACTTCCTTAACACACCTGCCTGCAACTCTATGCCAAAGTCACATGAGATACTTGAGCCCCATATATGGAAAGGAATCGTCCCAATTAGTTAGTGTATTAAGCACACAGAGTATTTTGTTAGTGACTGTACGAACCTGCATTTATAGTAAGTCAATATCCCTGTAACTTTTCGTTTAATCTTTCTAATACAGTTTTCTTATATTCGGCAACTTCAACAGGTGTTGGTTATGTACACACCTGTCCCTCTTCATTAAGTTCTATGGGCTTAAATAGACAGTATTTAACAGTATGACCAGATAAACAGCAACACAGGTATATGTGGACTGTTTTATCACAAATCTTAAACTTCATGTAAAAATCTGAAAGTAATTAACGATAATCAACTAACTTCGCTTTTGTTTACACCATCAGGGTCTAGACTGCTGCTCAGACACTGCCATCTCCTTCCACTATGTTAACACAGGAAAGATGTACGAGATGGAGTACCTGCTGTATCACCTGAGGCCCTATGGTATCCAGCACCACGACCCGTTCCCCGCCCCGCTGCCTCCAGACAGAGAGAGTATTCCTCTCCCGGTAAGTAGTCTTCCTCACCTTGCCCCCCATCCCCTGGACACAACAGTAGCATGGGAGAATAATTTTATATACTACAATAACAGAAAGAGATAATTAGTCAATATAGTGATTACCTTTGAATTATTATTATTTATTTACCTGACAGATACGACAACAAATTGAAGAATCAGTATCCCAGGACGAACAGGAACCAGAAGTACAAATAATCCATCCTGAGTTGGAAAAAAAATAACCCGAAGAGATATTTTACTGGTACCATGAGGGAAAAAAACTACTGAAAATTGTTTGGTAATTATTGGTCTGTATCGTTAATTTGTGTATTTGTTTTGAAATTTCCTGGAATATATAAAGTACTTTCTGGTATAGTCTACTTAAAGATTATCATGTATAATAGAGAACTGAGAATTTAACAAGTTAATTATCCATATTTTTAATTATTTAACAGTGGTAATATTTTATAGTGTTCTTATCAACATAGAATTTATAATAAAGAAAAATATTTCAATAGCTATAAACATTCATAGTTGACCTACATGTATAAGTGTCCAGGGAATTCGAACAACTACCCGATGTTTATTGTGTTAATATATATATATTGTTTATAATGTTTAGTGTTTTAAGTGAAGTTATACAAATTTCCTACAATATTTTTGTTTTTCGTTGGTGTTGTGTTGTAAAAGTTTGGGTATGTAAATAATTAATATTAAATAAGTGTTTTTATACGGGATTGTGTATATTTATAACATGTATGTAAGCAAGTAAATCTCTCTCTCTCTCTCTCTCTCTCTCTCTCTCTCTCTCTCTCTCTAACCATCACCACTCCAGCTCAGAGGAAAACACCTCGACAAATTTGTTCATAAGACTAAGGACGAAAATGAACGATACCGCATGTGTGTGTTTATGTATCTAAGTTTGAGCAGGTGTGTTTGGCGTTGTTTACGGTGTGTCCATTAAAACTGAAAAAAAAGATTTGAAAGATTGACGTGAATAAACAGATAAACTTACAGACGGAATATACAGTAATTGGGAAGATACAAGGTAGATACTCCTAAGGTAGAATTATAAGCTCCGTGTACTTATTTAAACAGTATTAAATGTATTTTTCTTTCTTCATTTTATGTTCCATGAGAGTTTGTTAATAATAGTAGAAGTTGGTCCAATATAATTAAGTATATTTTTGGGTGGGGGCTAGGTTAGGTTAGGTCAGGTTAGGTTAGGTCAGGTCAGGTCTGTGTTCCTAAGGTATTACTGTAACCTATGCTTATTAATTGAAGATCCTATGAAAAAAAATGCCTTTATGAATCATCAATTTTATTATCATTAAAATAACAGCAACAACAACACTTACTTTGAGCCAATACCCACAGCGACCCCCCCCCCCCTAGTTTATATAACGTTACTCACACATGAACAAACAAACAACTTTTCGACAATCAGTAAGTTTCCAGACACACAACACAACAAAAACAATAACAACATAGGAAACAATGATCTGATAAAAACTTGACGATGATAATAATAATAATAATAACAATAATAATAATAATAATAACAATAACAATAACAATAATAATAATAATAATAATAACAACAATAATAATAATAATAATAATAATAATAATAACAATAACAATAACAATAATAATAATAATAATAATAATAATAATAATAATAATAATTAAGTATTGACTCGTCTTTGGTATTGTAGTGGCGTGTTAACTTTAGGCATCCGTTTTACCGCGACGCTCAAGTATCTGGAATGAACAGAAAATATTGAATTAATTTTTTTAAAGGAATTATTAGACTGAGTTGTATATCTCATGAGTTAGTTTAATCTAATTGTTTTTCATCATCTATTTTATTATTTTTCTACTTTTTTTTTTAGGTTTCTGTTCCCGTCGATTCAGTCTATTGGGATGATTATGATCGTTGTGGACAATGTTATTAGTTTGTGATGATATTTACAACATAGGAAGGATAGGTTAGGTGTTAGTGTTCTTATGTGTTCAGTGAAAGAGAGGTAAGGTAACACAATGTAGTTTTAACAGTTTCTTTATGTTTAAGAAAGTTGTTCCCCTCTCTCTCTCTCTCTCTCTCTCTCTCTCTCTCTCTCTCTCTCTCCTTTTCACTTTCTCAGATATACTCAAGAAGAAATTGAATCTGATAATACACCTTAGTTCATAATTAAATCAATCAAATGTTTAATGAGTATGAAAATTTATCCGATTATTATTTCTAAACCACAACCATAAGAAATAAAGACCAGTATCACCTAAACACTCGTTACCATTGTAAATTTTGAATAAAAATGAAGACAAAATTGATAATTCACTCAACTTGATCAAGAGACAGAAGAGGATGATAGAGTCGGGTAGAGACGCATTGATGTGTAGGACCAGTGAGTGAGAGAGAGGAGAGGACTCACCTGGCGGGGAATACTATTGAGGTCTGGAGGCAGCGGGGCGGGTATCGGGTCGTGGTGCTGGATGCCATAGGGCCTCAGGTGATACAGCAGGTACTCAAACTCATACATCTTGTTAATGTCCATATAGTGGAAGGTGATGGCCGTGTCCGAGCAGCAGGTTAGTCCCTGTGGTCAGGTGGGAGCTGGTCAATAGGGTTTTCGAGTTTGGGATTTTTTCAATACACACACGAACCCCCCTCCAACCCCACCCCCCCGACACACACACACACATGTAACCAGTTTAATCTAGTTTAGTCGGTAACCAGTATAGCAACCAGAGTATTATACAATATGGATGATTAAGTTTTCATTATGCATTTTGCATTAACCCGCAGGGGTCAGAGATACTTTCATACCAAGCATGTAGTAAGCATTTATTTAGCTTGGTCAAACGCAGCTGGCCTAGTCACGATGGTCTGGCGACAGTGAGTCGACCAGGGATGTCTCAGTATAACTTCAATACACAAGTGTGAGTCTTCAGGAGAAGTTTACACACACACGCACACTCAAGCACACACACATACACAAACACACATGTTAAATAGGTTTACATTCATCACAATCTAAGAACAGGTATATACACAGTCTGCACGAGCCGTACCGTGTCAGGTTTATAGTACACATAGTCCAGATACCAGCTAGGGACTTGGTTAAAGAGGTGTGTGACGGGGGTGAAGGGGAAGAAGCGTCCTCGCCCCAGACTGTCTCGGGAGTCACCAGCCAAAACACCGATTTTATCCAGACATTTTCCTGTAACCAACAGTGTTCTTTATTACACGAGATGAGGATGTCACATATATACTGACGATAAGAGTAAATGTCTTCGTATATCTTCCTGTAGTACACTGACTGATGATGTAACATTATAAAATATAAGATAAACTACCACCAGCTAATGTTGGTAGTAATTTTATAGGAAAACTAAGAATTAAGTTAAAATTTAGTTTGTACAGATGATTAAAGTAAATACTGTATAGATTTTTAGATATATCTCATTCTTTTGTGTGATAGTAAAGTCTCTCTCTCACTCACCCATCTCGGCATCCTCGGCGCCTGTGTTATGTCTCTTACACAGTGTCTTATTTGGCAGCGCCACCTCCACAAACTGTGTTACTGCCTCCCTGCTTAACACATATCCACCGCCTCAGGAGAGAGATGGAAGGAGTTAGTGACATATAGACAGATAAACTTGATGTAGATAACATTATTATTATTACATCCACGAAGAGTCTCACCCATCTACACCCACGGAGAGTTTCACCCACCTACACCCACGGAGTCTCACCCACGTAGAGTCTTACCTCCACTCATGTATCCCTGTTTGCTGAACTTCTTGAACCTTGAGCCAAAGTAGATGGGGTAATCAGGGTCGTAGGCTGACAACATATAACGCATATTCTCCATTATGGTGTACCTGAGGGAGCACAGGTGAGTGAAGGTAAATAACAGGTAATTGCAGGAGGCGACAGGTGTAATGCCAGGTGATAACAAGGAAGATATGATAATGACAGATGGAGGAAGAACAAAGATCAACAAGAATATAATAATCAAGAATGGACGTTTTATGAAGTAAAGATTAGAGAAGAAACGCTAAGAAAACAGAAAGGCATAACATAAGGCAAGAGGACCCATGAAATAGGAACGAACTCATCAAAAAAATTAATTAGATAATAAATCAAAGAAAAAGATTCCTTATTATAGAAAACGGGATGAGATCGTTAAAAGCAACAGCAAAAACACAGAAAATGGCATTAAAACGCGACCACACCAGCCACATACCGACTCCAAGACCACCCTGAACTCTAGGTCCTGGTCTGGCCCTTAAAAGGAACTTAACCCCATTGAACATCTGTGGATAATAAGGCTAATCAGGTGTTACAGGGGAAGTGTGTCTCAACCTGGCGAGTCGGTCCCCAGGTGTGTGCGTGAGGTTACCAACGCAGAGAGGGACCTGTGACCTCTTGATAAATATATTAGTATATTTTATATGGTATACTTATATTGTGTAATTATTTTATATTCATTCAAAACCGATATTATAATAATCAAATACACAATATTGCTGCCAAATTATGTGGCTTTTATTTATTCATTCATAAAGATGAATTTCACGATAAATCAATTCTACAATATTCACTTAACCCTTATGACAACTTTTATGTTGTTTAAGAGATGTTATTTTATTTGTGAGGGACCTGGGTGTAGGGCGGACCACACTACAACATGCAGGGTGCTATACTACCGGCTGTACGATGAACGAACTTCATACATGTTGTTAAGTAATATATTTGTTAGTAATCATTATACTATTAAGTCTACTACTAGTGTTGCTGTGGCCGCCTTGTATACTGTATGGTTTTAACTGTGTATATACGATTATTGTAATTGTTTCGTTGTTCGAGTCTCAGGTGTTTCGGAGTCACATGGAAGCTAATTAAGGGAACGAACTACTGTACCTGGATTTTCCCTCCTGATAACCTTCATTTCACGAGGGTCAGTGCTCAGCTTAAACACTACGTCACGTCATCTTCCTCACACATCGAAGAATCATTACCGTTCTATCAGCCAGTCAAGAAGAGTTTAACATTACCAAGTTCTTTGACGTCTATGAGCTTTTTATCTACCGTTTCAGGAAAGTCTAACATTACCAAGCATTATGACGTCTATAAACTTTATATTTACTGGTCAGGAAAGTCAGGAAAGTCTAACATTACCAAGTTCGATGATATCTATGAGATATAATATTTTTAGTATACCTACGTGTCGTCGTCAGCCTTGAAAACCCACTCGTAATCGTCAAGGTAGTGGTCATAGATGTACTTGAAGGCGGCTTTTGTCTTTCCCCACAATAAGTTATATCCTTCACCAACATCCAAATCGATGGCTCCAAGGCTCTTGTCTGAGAGAATTCCTTCACGTAAGAATACTTTAAAAATCTTAGTAAATGGTCACTGGAACTCAGAGGGATAATGAGCTTCGTTAATAAGGATTCCAGTTTTGAAAGTCTGATGAACAGGTTTCTATATTTCGAGATAAATTAAGTGTGATACAAAAAAATGATTAAGCTTTTATTATAAGTTATTAATAAATTGACTTAAACTCATCGGTAACAAAGTGGAGGAAATTTTCGACGAGTGTCATGATAGACAGATGAGCTCCATGGCAGGCAAATCATTTAAGGGAAATTATTAATATTTTATCCTAAATTTCTGGTTACATTAGATTTCAAGACATAAATGATTAATATTATCATATTATTTTTGTTAATTAAAGGTATTTACGCTCGTCTAATTATTATTATTATATACTTTGACCCTTTGACTACTGGAGTGTTAATTCTTTGTCCTCAACGACTTAAATCTTCATTCAAGGATTAAACCATCGTCGTCAAGGGTTAAAACTAATGTATACACACACAATAACTAACCATTCTGTGAGCTCATGAAGATCAGTTTATTACATCGCTTCCCCCAGGTGGCCTTGACGTGGACTGCCTTCTTCTGGTGGGTTTCCGGCTGAGTCATCACCCAGCATAACACCCGCACCTTCTCTGCCAACCTGACCGCCTCTACGTCCTCCCCTGACACAACACGACTTTATCTCTTAACTTAACCTTTAGTTCAACATATTGTGACCTAAACATTAACACAGTAACGGTAATATTTGAGTTTTATATTTGTCAGTGTGTCCGTTTGTCTATGTCTTTATTTCTCACACATTTTAGCAAATAGAAAGCGCGACCGGGAGAATGAGAGAGAGAGAGAGAGAGAGAGAGAGAGAGAGAGAGAGAGAGAGAGAGAGAGTCACTAGCATTGACGTAAAATATTGGTTTGTTTACCTCTATGGTGGACCTCGTTAATATCATGGTCCTTCAGTGGTTCGTCTGGGATGTCCACCTCGACCAGGTCATCATGGGTCAAGGGGGAGCTGTAGGGAGGAGGTGAGGATCAAAGGTCAATATGAGAAACGAGGAGGAGGGTGATAATGAGGGATGAAAGAGGAAATAAAGGAAGAGGAGGGAGGTGATAATGGGGAAGAAAGAGGAAATGAAGGAGGTAAAGATAAGTACCCAGAGTATGAGAACTGGTAAAGGTACGAAAGAGAGGTGAAGGGGAAGACAATAAGGAGAATAAGGAGAGAAAAAGCATGATGGTAGAGAAGTAAGGACGGTGGGGAGAGTGAAAGTCAGATTCTAGAATAAAAGCCACGTGTGGAAGGGGGAATGAAAGAGGAAGAGGAGAAAACAGCAATAATTGAAAGTAAAGGAAAACAAACCCAAGAGATCCTTACACAAAATTATAAGTGTTCATATCTCGACACTAATTTATTTACCTAATACTCGGAGCACCTGAGAGGTAACCACTTGAGTATAGTAGCAGTAATAGTTGAAGTTAATACCTTGATGTCCTCGAAGTGAAAATACCATGGTAGGGAGTCAGACCAAAGGACGTCAGTAGAACACCCACCATCATGGACATCACCATCAGGAGGGGCGTCCTTACTGCTTTGGCTGAAGGAGGAACACATTATACTGTTATTTATGGTGTGTGTGTAATAATAATAATAATAATAATAATAATAATAATAATAATAATAATAATAATAATAATAATAATAATAATAATAATTAACGGTTTATTGAAAAAATTCTGCAGCCCGAAGGCTACAAATATACATTGGACATAAATGACTTATTACATACATTGGTGGTTTAACAAAAGCCTTCATTAGAGAAAGGTAAAGGAACATACAGTGAACATACAGATTAATGTAGGTGTGTGTGTGTAAATAAATAATAATAATAAAAACGGTTTATTAATAGAGTTGCAGCCGGTGCCTAAAAATATACAGACTTACATTTGATTTAGACATAATGATATAATATGCATTGAATACATTTACAGGGCTGTACAGTACATAAATCAGGAGTTGTTTATTATTTTAACAATAAATGGGATGGTGCTGTTCTTATATCTATCGGTGCGGGCTCTTATGGGCTGAATTTTGTTGTAGTGGCGGACTGCGTGAGTTGGGTGGGGGGCTGCAGGTGGCAGGAGGTGGCGATGACGAGGGTGGTGCATTAGTTGGCTGCCAAACCTTTCCAGTGCTTGGTGGTGGAGGTCACTGAGTGATGGCATTTCCAGGGTGGAGAGAGCATTGGTGTAGCCGGAGTATTCTGCGCCGAGCATGATTCTGCAGGCCCTTTTCTGTACCTTCTCTAGCTAACGTTGTTGGGTGGAGTTGAGAGAAGACGACCAGGCTGGTGACGTGTGTGTGTGTGCCTGCGTGCTTGTCCCTGAGGATATGTTATCAGGTGAAGTCACGAGAAGCCACTGTGCAGCAACTATACCTCACCTAACACCTGGACTCACCTTCACCCTCTCGCTCACCTGTTCACTATACCTTGCTGTGTCAAATTAAGAGAGATAAGGTTCAATGTAAATGTTATTAATACATTCTTGATGATCGTAATGAAGCTACGACACCTACGTAAGGGTGATTTAAGATAAACTGATATAGTTATCATAGTGAAGTTAATTAATGTATCTAAAGTAGAGTAATTTTATAATTTATGACCGAGGGCTTCAATTTTTCCCATCTCTGTCTCCTTCATAGTTCACCCACACCTGAACCACTCCCCCCACACCTGAACCACTCCTCCACACCTCAGCTACTCCCCCCACACCTGAACCACTCCCCACACCTGAACCACTCTCCACACCTGAACCCCCACACCGAACCACTCCCCACACCTGAACCACTCCCCCACACCTGAACCACTTCCCCACACCTGAACCACTCCCCACACCTGAACTACTCCCCCACACCTGAACCACTTCACACCTGAACCACTTCATACCTGAACTACCCTCCCACACCCGAAATATTCGTCTGCTTTCTCATCTACCTCCACTCTCTTCCTTTCCCTTATAGGTCAATTTCCACTGTTTCTTGGATTTTTGTCATTATTTACCAACAACTTTCTTTTCAAAATTTGTCTTAAGTTTTGTCTAATAAATTTATCTAGGAATATTATCCGCCAAATTCATGCGACTGTGTACACTTGTATAGATATTCCTACATACAAAACACACACGTGCATGCAAGATCTAACACACACACACACACGCACACACACACACGCACGCACACACACACACACACACACACACACACACACACACACACACACACACACACACACTAAATGAGAAAGAACATGTGCTGCAGCATACCGCATCAGGAATAATTTCTATGCATAAACCAGACCACGAGAGAGAGGGGAGGGGGGAAGGGATAATTTAATTTAGCTGTTGAAGCTCACACAGGTGTTCTATTGATACCTACACAACAGTCACAACACCATCACAGCGAGGACCACAACACCGTCACAACACCATCACAGCGAGGACCACAACACCATCACAACACCGTCACAGCGAGGACCACAACACCGTCACAACACCATCACAGCGAGGACCACAACACATCACAACAAGGACCACAACACCATCACAGCGAGGACCACAACACCGTCACAGCAAGGACCACAACACCGTCACAACACCATCACAGCGAGGACCACAACACCATCACAGCGAGGACCACAACACCGTCACAACACCATCACAGCGAGGACCACAACACCATCAAGGACAGCGAGGACCACAACACCATCACAGCGAGGACCACAACACCATCACAGCGAGGACCACAACACCGTCACAGCGAGGACCACAACACCATCACAGCGAGGACCACAACACCGTCACAGCAAGGACCACAACACCGTCGAGGACCAACACCATCACAGCGAGGACCACAACACCATCACAGCGAGGACCACAACACCATCACAACAAGGGACACAGCGAGGGAGGACCACAACACCATCACACGAGGACCACAACACCATGTCACAACCATCACAGCGAGGACCACACATCACAGCGAGGACCACAACACCATCACAGCGAGGATAGCGAGGAGGTCACAGCGAGGACCACAACACCATCACAGCGAGGACCATCACACACCAACAGCGAGGCACAGCGAGGACCACAACACCAGGAACATCGAGGACCACAACACCGTCACAGCGAGGACCACAACACCATCACAACAAGGACCACAACACCATCACAGCGAGGACCACAACACCACCACAACACCATCACAGCGAGCGAGACCACAACACCATCACAGCGAGGACAGCAGGACCACAACACCGTCACAGCGAGGGCGACCACAACACCATCACAGCGAGGACCACAACACCATCACAGCGAGGACCACAACACCATCACAGCGAGGACCACAACACCATCAGCGAGACCACAACACCGTCACAGCGAGGACCACAACACCATCACAGCGAGGACCACAACACCGTCACAGCGAGGTCACAGCGAGGACCACAACACCGTCACCACAACACCATCACAGCGAGGACCACAACACCATCACAGCGAGGACCACAACACCGTCACAACACCATCACAGCGAGGACCACAACACCATCACAACAAGGACCACAACACCATCACAGCGAGGACCACAACACCGTCACAGCAAGGACCACAACACGTCACAACACCATCACCGCGAGGACCACAACACCATCACAGCGAGGACCACAACACCCAAAGGAGGACCACAACACCATCACAGCGAGGACCACAACATCATCACAACAAGGACCACAACACCATCACAGCAAGGACCACAACACCATCACAGCGAGGACCACAACACCATCACAGCGAGGACCACAACACCGTCACAGCGAGGACCACAACACCGTCACAGGAGGACCCCAACACCATCACAGCGAGGACCACAACACCGTCACAGCGAAGACCACCACACAGCGAGACCACAACACCGTCACAGCGAGGACCACAACACCGTCACAGCTAGGACCACAACACCGTCACAGCGAGGACCACAACACCGTCACAGCGAGGACCACAACACCATCACAGCGAGGACCACAACACCATCACAGCGAGGACCACAACACACAGCGAGGTCACAGCGAGGACCACAACACCGTCACAGCGAGGACCACAACACCGTCACAGCGAGTACCACAACACCGTCACAGCGAGACCACAACACCGTCACAGCGAGGACCACAGCACCATCACAGCGAGGACCACAACACCGTCACAGCGAGGACCACAACACCGTCACAGCGAGACCACAACACCGTCACAGCGAGGACCACAACACCGTCACAGCGAGGACCAACACCATCACAAAGGAGGACCACAACACCATCACAGCGACCCACAACACCATCACAGCGAGGACCACAACACCGTCACAGCGAGACCACAACACCGTCACAACGAGGACCACAACACCGTCACAGCGAGGACCACAACACCGTCACAGCGAGGACCACAACACCGTCACAGCGAGGACCACAACACCGTCACAGCGAGGACCACAACACCGTCACAGCGAGGACCACAACACCGTCACAGCGAGGACCACAACACCGTCACAGCGAGGACCACAACACCGTCACAGCGAGGACCACAACACCGTCACAGCGAGGACCACAACACCGTCACAGCGAGGACCACAACACCGTCACAGCGAGGCCACCACACCACAACACGTCACAACAAGGACCACAACACCGTCACAGCGAGGACCACAACACCGTCACAGCGAGGACCACAACACCGTCACAGCGAGGACCACAACACCATCACAGCGAGGACCACAACACCGTCACAGCGAGGACCACAACACCATCACAGCAAGGACCACAACACCGTCACAGCATCACGGACACTAAAACACCATGGACTACGTTAAATATCCCGGCGTCATACCGATGGTCGGGAACATTGGCCACAGGAGATGAAAGAGACTGTCAGGGCACACGAGTATAGACAGCAGGAGTGAAGGCAGGAAAAGTACCTGACAGTTTCTACTACTATCACTGAGGGGTCCATGATAAAGTCTCCCCACACTCAGTTCACCCAAATGACTTTAAATTATTCATTATTATTATATTCTTATACATTAATCGTATTTTTTTTCAGTCAAGTGTTTCTATGGCAGAGTGGATACAAACACTCGCTTCCTGTCCTAAGGGTCTTTGGTTGGCAATGGACAACTTTACATCATTGTAATTTTGGTTTAGTATTTTGTGTAATTTGACATCACTCCGTCCTCAAGTTCCGTGACGTAGCCTGTGTGAAGCAGCCAACCGCGTCTTGTTATCACCAGACTGATTTGAAATGTTATTGTCCATGCCCCTATCTGCTGCCTGTAGGGTGTGACTGTTGTGTTGCGTTATCTTAGACTGAGCCTTTCCTACACATAGAGGGACCGTAACCAGCACTGAATATGATCACCTTCACTTCCCCATTTACACCTGGATTAACTGGGAGTGCCTGAGGAATGAATCAGACTAACAGGTGCTGTCAGATTATAATAAAAAACACTTTAGTACAAAATAATAATGTAGTAACTTAATATTGTTTTCATTGTATATGTGTTCGTGTGTGTGTGTGTGTGTGTGTGTGTGTGTGTGTGTGTGTGTGTGTGTGCGTGTGTAGCTACTACACTACGTGTCTGCTGTTCAATATATATATATATATATATATATATATATATATATATATATATATATATATATATATATATATATATATATATATATATATATATATATATATATATATATATATATATATTTCATGTAAATCCACAATGAAAACGTGGATAAGATAAATCTTGATAAAATCACTCTGGAAAATGGAAACAACGGTTCTCCGTTTCCATATATATATATATATGTTGATAACCTTGTGGTTATCAGCATATACCTGGATCACGCGCACCTACAGTGTGATATATATATATATATATATATATATATATATATATATATATATATATATATATATATATATATATATATATATATATATATATATATATAATGTGTGTGTGTGTGTGTGTGTGTGTGTGTGTGTGTACTGCCGGTCATCCAATATACAGCTGTGTTAGTAGCGAGGATTATAAATAATAGTCTACCTATCTTACTACACGAGGGATAATAAAGATGGTAATTGTCTCCTGGGGATTATTCCATCCTGTCACAGGTCACTGACCCACATCGGGGCCTGGGCGGAGGGAGGGAAAATATGAAACAAATTACATCATTAAAAGATAAATAAATACGGAAATGAGAAAAAATATATAAGAGCAAGAGTGAGAAACAATACGTTGTGCTGTCACAGTAAGAGAAATAATTGAGACCCTGTAAATGTGGCAGAAAGTCAGTCTGATGAGCAACCTGGGTCTTGGTCATAATTTTTGTGCACTAACTTAATGCTGGGGGAGTGGGGAGGGATAGGTGAGTGGGAAGAGATGGGGGAATGAGGAGGGATGGGATAGTAGGGAGGGGTGAGGGAGTGATAAGGAATGGGAGGGATAGGAGGGATAGAGTGATGTTTACCTTAACATCATAAACTTCGGGGTGAAGAGGAGGAGGGAGCGCAAGGACAGGTGCTAAAGGAATGGCCCAATGTTTACACTCATTAGCATTACACACCTGAGCTTTAGAGGGTAAAAGAAGGCACTGATATTTACTGTACATTCGGGAACATTCAATAACTGGGGTATAGAAGCTGAAGGAGGATGAAGTGGTCTGGAGACTGGGGCTAAGGGCTAGGGCGTGTGGGCTAGGGGGTGTGGGATAGGACGTGTGGGCTAGGGGTTATGAGCTAGGGGGTGTGGGCTAAGGGTTATGGGCAAGGAGGTGTGGGATAAGGGGTGTGGGCTGGGGGTTGTGGGCTAGGGGGTGTGGGATAGGGGTTGTGAGCTGGGGGCTGATGTTCACAGTCATTAACATTATTGTCTTCGAGGAGTGAGATTTTGTAGGGGTTGATGTCTACGTTCATGAAGAGAGAGGGAAGGAGAGAGGGAAGGAGATAAAGAGACGGATGTGCTAGCAGGATGAGTGGGTAGGTGGGAGGGTGACGAGTGGGGTGGTGGAATCTACTGTTGATGATTCTTTTTACCACAACTCATTACCAGCCACACTCCTAGTTACCAGCAACACCTGTTTGTCTGACTCAATTCAAGCTGCACCTTCTTCCTCTAACGTTCTCACTCATACCAGAAAACTCTTTAGATCACCTGAAGATTCAACCAGCACGCCCCCCCCGAGAAAAGAAGATTATTTAACCTTCTTGACTAAACATCCGTAAGTTACAAGGGAAATTAGGTTAGGTTAGGTTAGGTTAGGTTAGGCTAGGTTAGGTTAGGTTAGGTTTGGTTAGGTTACCGTAAAGGTGGTTAATCTTAAGGTGAAATAAACTTTGGGTTAACGAATTTTCAGGCAATTACACTTACCTATAACAAAGGTGAATTAGTTATACTCTTAATTAAGTGGAGAAATATGATTCATTGTTCACTATTATGAATATTTTTTGTAGAATAAGAATATAATTATTATATTCTTCACATCTACCGTACAGGGATAACTCTATCGTACTGTGAAATAGAGATGGAGTGAGTAAAAGGGAAACAGTTGCTGGGTGCATCGCGGATTGATTAATGAACCAAAGAAGAGAGTTGATGGATTGACTAAAAAAGTGGATTGAGTCTACCAGTTGGATGAAAGAAGAGATAGATGGATAAGACGATGGTTGATGTCGTACTGTAAATACCTTAGTGTTATATTGTCCTTTCACTATAACTCTTAGGTGGCAAAAGGTTATCTCAAGGTGATAAGAAACCCTAATGAGAATAACCAATAATGATCTTCTTCACACACACACACAGTCTAACATGGTGTTAAGCTCTCGACATTACGTTCTCAGTTTGCAATACTCTTTTTCCCACAAAGGCGGAGCATAACGTCTCTATCTAGCACGCCCACGTCTACGCCCACATCCACGCCTACACCCGCGACCACACCGACGCCCACACCCACGCCCTTCACCTGCACTATCACTCTCTGACCAACTTATTGTCACTTAAGATATTCCTTCGTTACGCAAAAATTGCTCCAAAAACAATGATCTGGATCCCGCCTTGCCGTGGTTGGCTCGGAGCCGCTCAGTTTGGCGCTGATTGGCTGTGAACATGAATTCAAAGTGTAGCCTGGCGTTGATTGGTTCGTTCGGTAGATTCGCAAAAACGGGTATTTTAGGTATCTTCCCCACTTCATTTAAAATACCCTTATTATTCACTACAGTTTTTACAGTGTCTTCTCTATGAGTTGTGTGTTCATGTTTGTCTCACTCACTCACTTCTTACCTTTCAACATCTTGTCAGCTTTCTTTTGTTGGCTGAGACCTTATTATGGTGTCTCCCAACTTTCTACAGCTCCATACAGCGGCGGTGGTAACTGTTAAGACGTAACTGTAACTGCAGACAGGTAAAGGACTGGCTGTAATTCAAGACACCCTTCAGCAGCTGTAACCTTAAGTAACAGTAAATGGATCAGCGTTGACTGTTACTTAAGTATTTTACGACACACCAGTTCATGACACACTCGCCCTGGGACTAAGAGGTCTGGAGTTTCAGTACCCGAGGACTGAATGAGAACCACTTATCTAAGCCCACAGCTGTGACACCTGCACTATCTGCCACACTCCCATCAAATCTTATCTGGCTTCACTCCTACACCCAACTTACTCTAATGGTGATGTCACCTTGTTTGTTTTGCACTTACATCTCTTTAAACCGATGATGCACAAGTTGGAGGTTTATGGTGAAATTTGTTTTAAATTCTAAGTATTAAGAATTTACATATAAATGTATTTTATAAATTTGTCTTTTGTCACCGATAGATGTCCTTGTGGAGGTCAGGAGCTATTGGGGAGTATACAAAGAACTGATAGACACTAAAGATTTATTCACGTGATGGAAGACTTACTTAAAATAGTGTAGATCATTGTTGATTGAACAGACGTAAGAGGGTAAAGGTAGATGACCAAGACCCTTGACAAAGCCACAAGGTAATCGTGTGACTCAATGCCTTGTTTGTTCCTGAACATTGACTGGGTTATTAATGGTCAATAGTAACCCAGTGGGTTAATATTGACCATTAATATACCACTTGACGCTGGGTATTATAAATCCTGGTTGTATATTATGAACAATATATGTGGCAGACTCAATACCAAAACAATTGTTATGGAGTCGGGATCTGCTTGTGGGGGCCGCGTTCAGCAGCGTGGTGGCCCGGACTCGGGTTTCGTAGTCGGACAGACACACGAGGGTGTTCATTCATGCTGGCCTGGAATTACGATTTATTTTGGACAGTTGTTCTACCATACTTTTTAACTCACACTTGGTAATGACTTGAGGATTGTACTTATAAACAGAGACGGTCACAGGAGACGCTTCGCGGTGTACGGGATGCTGCAGCACGTGTGTTTGGTGTGATGTTCGAGGTATACGTTTCCCTCCTCTCTGCCGCCTCGTGGCTAGAGAACCTCGCTTGATTATGATAAGTACTCGTTTGATCTCTTAATTGTCTTATTTTTATTCCGTCTTCTCTTCTGGGTAACTGGGGCTCTAAGGTATTTTATCAATTTTCTATACATGTGCTGAGGGCAAGAATGTTATTTACTATTCATTAAAGCTTTCCTAGTTCTTGATTGTATACGCACGCAATTCCTAAGCCTATGACGTCACAAACTGCTTTTATTATCACTTTTGGATACCGATTTTCTATAAATCCTCGCTGCTCAATCAATCCAAACTCGTCCTACTTAGTAATTTTTTATGGTTATTAAACTACTATAGTGACAATTATAATCAAAGATTTTTGGTTCTTGCCCGGACCACCCAGGGGTCACTGGTCAATAGTAATACCGAGGTGCACAACCTTGGCGCCCAGGTAATATGTGTGTAAAGTTTCGGGTCTCTAACTGTTGCCGTTTTGAAGCTATGCCTGGAACATACAGACAGACAGACAGACACGTCCTTTTACAATTACATAAATATATATATATATATATATATATATATATATATATATATATATATATATATATATATATATATATATATATATGATAACCACAAGGAAAGAAAACACGAAGTTCCCGCGCTTTGTGTAATCACATCTTCTTTCCTTGTGGTCAGCATATACCTAGATCACGCACCTACAGTGATTTACTTGCATATATATATATATATATATATATATATATATATATATATATATATATATATATATATATATATATATATAAATAAATGGAAAATGGAAACAACGGAGTACCTCTGAAGATGTCTTGAATAAAGACGAAAGCTAAGGTGCTCCTGAAGATATATATATATATATATATATATATATATATATATATATATATATATATATATATATATATATATATATATATTTAACTGATGATGTACATAATCAGTAATTTGATCATTTATTTCCTCCTCATCATCATCATCACTGCCGGAGCCGTGTTTATCTAATCTCTTTTTATTTTACGGGGATTAGCCCACCCGGGCACAGTCCATTAACCCACATCGGGACCTGGGGGGCGAAAATGTAATAATAATACTAATAATAATGATAATAATAATTCAGATAAGTAAAATTTATAATAAAAAATACAACAAATAAAAATATAATAATAATAATAATAATAACAATAATAATAATAATAATAATAATAATAATAATAATAATAATAATAATAATAATAAACCATAAAGAAATACAAAAATAAGAAAAAAGATCAAGAGTGAGAAACAATTATGTATGTTATGTTGTCAATAGTAAGAGAAACAATTGAGACCCTGCAATTGTGTATAAATGAGGCAGAAAGTCAGATCAGCAACTTGGGACTTGGTCACAATTTCGTGATGCCATCAGGGATATTTGAGGCAGGTTTGCGGTTGAGTGACCTCTCTATATGAAATAGTTATTTTATTTTGATTCATATTATGTACATAAACAAGAACAATGAAGGCCTTTACATACCTAAATAGTTGAAAAGCTTTACCCATAGAGGAGCTGCACCGCCGCCGTCACCAAACACACTTGGTGTTGGTTTACATCACCCGGTATGGACGCGTGGATCCCTAAGGGTGCGTCCACACCAATGCAACAATATCGGTAACATGTATTGCCAATAATAGTGTTGGGAACATTGTGGGCAACATTATTATGTTTCTCATAGTGTTATTGGTAACACTGATAGACAGCATGAGCAGCTGGGTGGACTCAAATAATAACATACCCAGGAAAATCACATGCACTGTAGGTAGACAACACCAAGCGGGAAATGTAAAGGGTAAATAACTTTAAGGAAAACATGGAAAATGTAAACCATCCTCTCCAAATTGACAGTAATACCCTTGTACACCTTTGTGGCCATCTGTTAGTAATCAACAACACCCAGTTAGAACACAGGGGCAGAGGCGCCTTTCTGGGCCTAAATATATCCACGACAGGTTACTCCCATCATGCCCACACCAGTAAGGAAAAAAAAAAGAAAAACTATACCGCTTAAACACACTTCCTGGGTAAATAAAACTCCGCCTGGTGACATCATTTATCACACCGATATTAACTTACCCAGCAGTACCTCTTCATACTATGAGCACCACTCAAATATTAAAATTACAGGTGGTCCAAAATGAAACCCTGAGATTCGTTACAGGTGAAAGATACCCCTTCACCAGAACCACAGCCGCGTTACATAGAGACGTGAGAGTGTTACCGATCAACCCGCAGCGACACACCCTGGCCAGAAGAGTGTGGCAAAAACTATTCCCACCAGACACTAATAACAACCATAGATGATGGTCCCCACCTCAACCACCATTATACCACCACCACCACCACCATCATCATCAACCACCCACCACCTCCACCATCACCACCATTATAACCACCACCACCACCACCATCATCAACCACCCACCACCACCACCACCGCCATTATAACCACCACCACCACCACCATCATTTTAACCACCACCATCATCATCAACCACCCACCACCTCCACCACCACTATTAAAACCACCACCACCACCACCATCATCAACCACCCACCACCACCACCACCACCATTATAACCACCACCACCACCACCATCATCAACCACACCACCACCACCACCATTATAACCACCACCTCCACCACCATCATCAACCACCCACCACCACCACCAACACCACCATCACCATCAATCACCCACCACCACCACCACCACCACCACCAGCAGCAGATTACCCCCGGTAGTCACAAACTGAACACCTGTGTACCATCACAGGTGATACCATACACCACATAGAGTCATATCACACGTTATAAGCAACTCGTAAACCAGATACATATACTGCTTGACTTCCTTATGTCTGTCTCGACAAGGATCAAGAACAGTGATGTAGAATTTAATAAGGTTCTATAAGTTTTGCTGTTTGGTCTAGACTGTGGTGATGTTGACGCTGATATAATGATTAAGAATAACTCAGAGTCGTCAGTATTACCCGGAACTACAAACCGTTTACTTGGTGTGTTGACATTATTGATCTGGGAGGAACAAGTGGTGAGATTAGTGGTGGTGTCAACGAGGAGTGCCACTCATGAGGTGTCAGATGGTCGCGCTAAGAGTGGTTACTGACTGGTGGTGTCAGATGATGAGAGTAGGAGAGGGTGTCAGAGAGCGATACGAGTAGGTGCCAAGTGGTGAGTGCCAGTTGAAGGGGTGCCTAAGGTTTGGAGGTGTCAGGTGGGGAGGTATACCAGGTGAGGGTGCCAGGGGGATGCCAGGTAAGGGTGCCAGGGGGATGTCAGGTAAGGGTGCCAGGGGGATGCCAGGTAAGGGTGCCAGGTGAGGAGTGCCAGAGGGATGCGAGATCAGCGTACCAGAGGGGATAACATGTACAGGAGGGGAGGAAGGGTGCCAGCGAGAGAGCTAGTGAGGGGGGTGAGGGGGCGATAACACCTCACATGCGACTGGTCATGAGCACCATACTCATTCGACTCCCGGAAACAGATGCAGTAATCAAGTGACTTATCATACCGTGTGCTCTTGTGTGCCTGAAACTATATACACTGTTTTCATCACATTTAGAAATACAGTTAATACCTCCCTGATCAGTTACAGTTACTCTACCTGGTTACAGTTAACTTTAGTATTACGACTGGGATAGGAGGGAGACATCGTAAATAACTTGGCAAAAAGAAGACGTTGAGGAGACCGCCATGAGATTCAGAGGTAAGGAGGGAGTGAATGTGAGGGAAGGAGTGATTAAACTAATGGTTGGGAGTGAGAGGGAGAGTAAGGCAGTGAATGAGTGAGAGGTATACAATTAATGGGTAATTGAAAGGTAGTGAATGAGTGGCTGAGTGACAAGTAGAAAGGTTAGTGAATGAGTGAGAGTTAGGAAGTGAATTGGTGAATAAAATATAATGAGTAAGTGAAGGAGGGAGAGGAGGAGGACGAGGAGGAGGAGGAGGAAGAAGAAGAGGAGGAGGAGGAAGAAGAGGAGGGGGAAGAAGAAGAGGAGGAGGAGGAGGAGACATACAGACAGACAGACAGAAAGACTCCTCCAATAAACTCGTACATAACAAGGAGATGACAATTACCCTCTTTTACCAATTTTAACACACAAAGCCATCCTTTGTTACCTGTGAAGTTGTAAAGGTACGTTAGGTTAGGTTCGGTTAGGTTAGGTTAGGTTAGACAAGTCACAGGTGAAATCTCAGGTAATGCATGACATAATATTCGTTGTGGTGTTGAATTCTCCCCGGGTTAAATATTTGTGGATTTCAGGTGACTGGCCACAGTTGGTTTACCTTCATCTGAACACCTGTATTAGCTGGTACACCTGTGTCTTATAACCTAACCCCCCCTCAGTGAGTTTGATCATATTAGAGTTTCTTCCAAATGTTAATTATATTTTTTTTTATGTGTAGGTTTATTTATTTGTGTTAATGTACACACACACACACACACACACACACACACACACACACACACACACACATACATACACTTACACACAACATACAAAGCCTAAACAAAATACTCCAACATATTCAACGCACACAATACACACCATACCCACGTACATACACTGCGTCAAATACCAAATTATCTCTTCCTTCCTCAGGCGTCTCACTTAACACCGCCCCGACACTGGTGATAGCGATGATGTTTGGGTGTATGATAGCAAACCTCAGCCAACTCCCATACCTAGCAAACTACACCATTAACTCCAGGTATTAACATTACATTACCTCAATGTTTACTTTATGTTTATACATTATTATACCAAGGGAGTAGTTTTATTTAGTAATGTATTTAGTTTATATTTTGTATCTCATTTTTGTTCTCATATCATCATCATCATCTTCGGCGTCTTCCTCTTTCGTGTTGTTTTCATTATCCTCCTTCTGTTCTTAACCTACATCCAATTAATCTTTCTCTCTCTTGATCTCTCTGCACATAACTTCTCTCCTGTTCGTCTTCTCTTCCTCCTTTCCTCCCCTTTATCTACCTTCTCTCCTCTTCCAGGTGGACGGAGGAGCGTATGACCTATGATCCAGAGGTCAAGGATGGTAAAGCCTTGACCTATCATGACCACGATGAGAAACACCACAGGGGTAAACACAACAAACCTCTCTCTCTTCTATATTTCAATCTACTTATATTTTAGTCTTTGTCTAAGTGAATGTTTGTGCTATATTGTAATTGTTTTTGACTTTTCAAATGAGACGAAGCAAATATAACTGAATTCGAATTATTTTTTTAGTTGAAGCATAATTAAGCTAATTGGCTTCTTGGAACGTAATTTTTATACTGATGATTGCCGTGTTGTCTGTGGCAGAGGAAGTTGTGGAGGTGGCGCAGAAGGTGCGGGTGTTGTGCTGGGTGCTGACTTCTCCTGACAGACACCAGAATAAGGCAGTTCACGTCAAGGTTACTTGGGGGAAGCGGTGTAATAAACTGATCTTTATGAGCTCAGCGGATGGTTAGTCTCCAAGTATGTCAGAATAATAGTAATAATAATAATAATAATAATAATAATACAACTAAAAAATCCCTTGAGACCTTAACTTTTCTTTCGCTGCTTAAAAAAACTGGTAGTGTCATATACGAGGATCCATTAACCTGCTTGCTTCTTAATGTTAAACAAAGTGGTTTCCTCAGACGCCAGTATTGGATCTGTCAACTTGGGTCATTATGAAAAGAATCCTACGTCATGGAACAAGACTAAGGCTGCCCTCAACTACCTCTACGACAACCACCTAGACGACTATGATTGGTTTTTCAGAGGCGACGACACTACGTAAGTTATCCAGACAATACTCTGCTGTGGATAGATGCATGTGGATACCTTGTGGATTCCTCTCTTGTGTTTACAAAGTTGAAAATATTACAGTGTGACGTCATATTGTATTGTTTACTCAGTGAGCCTTGTAATCTAAACTTCCCCGTTGCCATTAAGAGACGAAACTCTAACTTACCTCTCATTACCTGTAACTTGACCTAACCTAACCCAACGTTAATGTACCTCGCCAGGTTTGTCATCATGGAGAATATGCGTTACATGTTGAGTACCTACGACCCTGACCACCCCATCTACCTTGGTTCAAGAATAAGGAGGTTCATCCCACAAGGTTACATGAGTGGAGGTGGGTGTACGGGGATGTAGGCAGGTGTAGGTGGGTGAGACTCTACGTGGGTGTAGATGGGTGAGACTATACCTGTGAGACGAGGGAGGCTTGAATGACAAATCGTACTACTCCTTACGCTATGATTGTAATAACACCTTTATTTATTACCAGGTCATATTAAAAACAATTCCTCTCCTTCGTCACAGATGCAGGCTGTGTGTTAAGCAGGGAGGCGGTGAGGCAGGTAGTGGAGGTGGGGCTACCGGATGCCACCAAGTGTACCAGTGGCAGCAGAGGGATCGAAGACGTGGAGTTAGGTGGGCTGTGAGGCGTCATGTTAAAGGTTCTGTGTGTGTGTGTGTGTGTGTGTGTGTGTGTGTGTGTGTGTGTGTGTGTGTGTGTGTGTGTGTGTGTGTGTGTGTGTAGATGTTCATGGGTTCAGTAATTAGTATCTTTTGCCAACTTTAAAATCCTGAAATAATCCTTCAACATATTAAATAATTATACAGTGAAACTTCTATTTAACGGAGTGTATAGAGATGAAAGTCCGTTATATCAAGGGCCCATTAGATACGAAACCTCCTACCTCACGGATTACATGGAGAAAGAAATCCGTTATATGGAGGTTTAGCTGTTTTATTCTCTGAAGCTGTGTGGGTAATCACGAAAACATTTAGATGGCAGGAGTTCTCGAGCTTAAATGATCACGCATGTTGACACTATGGTAACCAAAGTTCTTGTTTACAGGGAAGTGTCTCGTTAACGTTGGTGTTACGTTCGGTGACTCCAGAGACAGTATGGGTCGGCCTCGCTTCTTCCAGTTGAGTCCTAAGAGGCACATCTCTGGCTCAGTCCCCACTTGGTACCGCGACTTTGCTTATTACAAACATGACCAGGTAGACCTCAGCTGTTAACTGTGCTGGTACTTGAGGTTCTAATAAAATATATTACAGTAACAACATTAATCTGTCACAATTAATCTGTTACAATTAATCTGTTACAAATAACATCTACATTTGTTCACTGCTCGACCACAGGGCTTAGGCTGCTGCTCAGACACGGCCATCACCTTCCACTCCATCACTCCCAGAGAGATGTATGAAATGAATTATCTGGTGTACCATCTGAAGCCCTATGGTATCACCCACCGAGACCCTTTCCCCGCCCCGCTGCCTCCAGACATTAACAGCATCCCCACACAGGTAAATACTAGACCTTCACACACCTAACCTAACCAAACCTCTCCCACCCAATCACACAAGATATCGCGAAATCACACGAATGTAGTTTGTCTGAGTCACCAATAATGTTAGTCAAGGGAAGACGTTCTTAATTTATTATACAGTAATAGTTTAACACACCTGAGTAGATCATAATGTTAATTAGAACGGGTTACACCTGACACTGCTTGTTCAACACACCTGAATGACCCACGATGGTGTATGGGGGCAGGATATTCATGGTACGAGTGTCTTCATTCTCATCGACAATGACTCAAGTAATTCTACAAAACACATCAACAAAACAAATCTCCATCACTTGATTCCTCTTATCTCGAATACTAAGACATCATTCAATTTATTTCATTGTCAAACTTTTCATAAATTTTCATAACCTAGGTGATAATGTCATCATAGACTATTTATGAAGAAGAAAAAATACCGATACTGTTACTGAGATTTATAACATATTAATTCGATTCCTTCATTACATTACTTGGCTTTCCTCTAATACATACATACAGTACTTGATATGTGTTCAAAATCGATAGAGTTATTATTGATCTTTGACACAGCAGCCACTAGGAAACAGAGAAACTGACAGTGAAATAACAACAAAAATAGGACAATCTGGATATAGCCTTCCCCCCTTGTCTGACTACCATTCCTTCATATGGGTTAACTGATGATATTTAACACTATAAGGAAGTATGTTTTCAGAACACCGAACGTGACTTAATTCAACTTCTTTCTTTATTTTCCAGCTACTGAAGAATAAACCAAAAACGTAAATATAGTTGAGATAAGAGGTACAGAATAGGCATAGACCATCTCATGCACATAGTGAGGTATTGGGGAGAGCTTCAGCTGCGTTACCAACACCATGAGAGCTTCTGGTGAACGCTCCCGGCTCTCACTCGACCCTTGGCACAAGCTGGTGGGAACTCGTCACCTGGGACCGATTCTTGGGAGTCATTATTGAGTTTTTAATTCTTGGTTCTTATAAAATGTTACTTAACTTTTACATTTAGTACAAGTTGATGTGTTTGATTCATGTGTGTTTTGTGTAATTTTGTACATGGACCCTCCTGGAAATAAGCAGCTTACATCTTTGTTGAATATCCTTGGTCAAGTTGCCTTACTGTTTACCATTGTTGTTTACCTGCAGCACTGTCTCGGCACACAGGAAACTAATTTATACATCCAATTATTATTATTATTATTATTATTATTATTATTATTATTATTATTATTATTATTATTATTGTTATTATTATTATTGTTATTATTATTATTATTATTATTATTATTATTATTATTATTATTATTATTATTATAATGATGATGCTTCATGCAAAAGTTATGAGTTGTTTTGCTCTCAAGATTAAATAAAAAACGGTAAGTTTTTACTTTGGGACATGTGTCCCTAGGGGTTGGCCAATATGCTTTTCCATTGTATTTTGGTGTGTTTTAAACGAATCTGACCTTCATTTGGGGCGGAAATTGCTAGTTTATGCCCCAACAACAATGGGAAGAGACTGGAAATCGGGGTTTTTGGGTGAGGGAGAAAACGAAAGCGAGTCATCTGACCAAACAAAACTTAACCGGTAGGCCTAGCTTAAACTAACCTAAATGTTTCAGTAGTTAATAACTTTGGGGCGCGCCATGTCCGAAAGTACAATACCTTAGTTAGAAGTGGAAGGACCAGGGATACGTAAGAATTGGATGGAAAGATCGTCTTTCTTGTAAAACTCGGCAATAAACTAAAAATAATCGTAGGAGCACAACTGACAACCAACCTCCACCACGGCTATTGTGAGACTGGTCAATGAAATTACCCAGGCTGCTTCCTTTGAAAAAAAATCAAATGTGATTGAGCGAAAAAATTTCGCGTTATGATATCGATACCACATTGGGAGAGCTATGTCCGAAAGCAAAATAATACAAAAAACTATGTATTGTTGATTGTAATGTATATATTTGTGGGGTAAGTTAAGGTGTGTTCACTGATAGCCCAAGGAAGCTGGTGTGGTCTTATTTCCACTGGTCTTTTTTTGTTTGTGTGTGTGAGGGAGTGTACAGAGCTCGGTAATCAATATTTCTGGTAAATGAAGTATTGGGGTTAATCCATGTAGCTTCTCAGGATTGTAATTAATAAAACAAGTCCAGTCGCTTAACATAAGTGACATAAACATTCATAATTAAGTTTATATTAAAGTCTTACCTAAAAAAATCGTTTTCTTCTTAAAACAAACAAAGAAAACTAAAATATTGAGGAGTGACTAAATGTTTTAACTCGTCCCTATAATAACCCTTTTATATGCACTCTTGTTACATACATCACTTATAGGAGTTACTTAAAGTGAAGGAGAGGAAATAATAAGTATATACATTTATTCTTCACTTCACAACGTTATTCACCATTTCACCACTTCATCAACTTAGCCGTTCGGGTGATTAGTCTGTTACTTTGTCATGACCTTTATTGTCCAGTGTTGGTACAGGAGGAAACTGGAGTACTCGGTAGAAACCTGCTATGTTTGGAAGTGTTACATACATACATACATACATACATACATACACACATACACACATACATACATACATACATACATACATACATACATACATACATACATACTTATATTCATACATACATTCATACTTATATACATACATACATATATAAGGAACGTTTAGGAGATATATGACTGTTGGCCTCTCTCTCTCTCTCTCTCTCTCTCTCTCTCTCTCTCTCTCTCTCTCTCTCTCTCTCCTACCATGAAATTTAAAATAACAATAGTTCTTACCTCGCCACATTACATACACAACATCAGTCATAAGCCGCCTACTTAATCTAACGAGTCTCAGGTGTTGTAATGTTCGCTCCTCCAATACCTCTTTACCTGTGTGTGTGTGTTCAAGTCGTTTCGTTAGTGATGCATTATTCTACACGCGCTGTAACTAAGTGTCCATAAAGCAGAGGTAAAGCCCGTAGTGTTTACCTCAACACAGCTTATGAGATCAGGAAGCACAATACATTATGCACCACAAACCCTCTCAAGCGTTTGTGTTCCCGTGACTCTGAAAGGACAGTGTGTGTGTGTGTGTGGCGCTGAATACAGTTTATCACCTATTGGCCAAGATATGGTATTCTTAGTCGATCCTTTCACCTACATCTTCAGAGTCTGCAATCGAGTATCAGGGGATGAAATAAGATGATGAAGCTGTAATATTATAATGGGTAGGTTGAATACTCCACCATGCTCTGAGGACGCGAGAAGCCCGATCACGTGGGGGTTGTTTGGATGATAGATCTCTTGCTTCAAACAAGAACCATCGTGAGACAAATGTTTGCGTCTCCTGGGTATGACTGATGGTCCCTCGGGGCACATCTGATCCCCAGCTGATGTCATATACCGATTTCTCGCCATCGCAGGGAACACAAGAAGGATTTATTGTAATCCGGAATGACAGATGTGATTACTTAGGCAAATCCCAGTGACTAAACCAGAAGTATTGGGTGATTGAGGAGATATTAAGCTCATTGATGTAGGTTTAGGAGTTTATATATCTCGGTCTTTACACTTAAGTCGCCATGTATGAGTAATTGCAAAGTCATCCATAGACACAGAAACATAAAGACACATATTGATTGAGAAACACGGACAGATAAGAACCACTGTTGTCCTTATGGTGGCAGCAACAAGCTTCACAGTAGAAGATTTCTCCCAGGCGAGGCATCAAGGTAACGGGTATACTGTCCTTATGATTGCCAATTTTCAGGGGCAGGCGTGACCGAAATACGTCTTTGTCATCTCTCATTGGCACCCCGACCTTTCTTCAGTACCACCGAGCTCTTGGCCCAGTGCCGGACTCTCACCCCGTCATTAGATGCAATAGTCCTCTTCTGATATGATAAATCCTCATCTTATCGCTTTATTATGTTGATGGAAGAAAATAAAGTATTTAAAATATTCCTAAAAAACATAATATTTCAGTTCATATTAATAAATTCGGTAGATATTCAATATAACTGTTGTATATTACTTAAAGATATATTTTCTACGTAGTAATATGTTCCTTAACGAGAAAAGTACTTATATATTTACTTATTTACTTATTTATTTATTTACTTATTTACTTAATTGTGCAGCTCATTACTAAACAAAACTTGCAATATATCCATAAATAATATAACTTCTTTAGAAATATATTGTTAATGTGTATCAGTTAGAACCTATAAAGAATTGAAAGACCATCAAACAACTATACTGAGTCATCTAAATGCTCTAACAAGGATGCAAGGCTCAGTGCTGAAGGTTAGGTTAAGTTAGGTCTGTAATGAGTTCTTTAACACCAGTCAGCGATGATGGTCCTGTTCCCACAAGGTCTCAGGGGGACAGTGGAAGAAGGTAACAGCTGGTCCATGAGTAAAGATAAAGTGTTTTTCTTGGTGTACTGGACAGTGATGGATGAAGGTGATTTCAGGTGAGTAATGCAGCCAGATGAGGAGAGTAAAGGTGGTGAGGTGGTGAGATAGTAAGGTAGGTAGGTGGCGTCTCTCTCTCTCTCTCTCTCTCTCTCTCTCTCTCTCTCTCTCTCTCTCTCTCTCTCTCTCGGGAATGTATACTTCTTCCCCATTTCCTTCCACTTTCTCTTCTTCATCTTTACTTACGTATTCAAAGGTAAAAAGAAAATCATAAAAAACTTGGCCATTCACGAATACAAACTCGCACACTCTCACTCGCAGACAGAAACACAAACTTAAACACAACCCATTCACAACATTACTGAGACATCAACACATACTAATATCTCCTGTCATTACACCTGTCTCACCTTTGATTGAGAATACATCATCAGTAAGGTGTTTCTCTTGTGACTAAGGGCAATGTGACTCTTCTGACACAAGGTAAACCATTAATGTTACTATAATCTGTCTGTCTTATATATTGAGGTTCGTGTGACTGGCTTTATGGAGGTAATAATTTTTCTTATTATTATTATCATTATTATTATCATCAATACTAGTTATCGTTCTTGGGTTCTTCTCTTAAACTTCTGCTCCCCGAACAAGCTGTACACAAGTTTGTTATCGTTGACCCAGATACTTTATGTCCTTCAATATACAATAAATTTCACTCTTAAGATATAACTTCAATTATCTATACGTGGAGCAGAGGTTGGAGGCGGGTGGAATACTGATGTTGGTGTAGTATGTGTGAGGGAGGAGGGGGTGGTGTGTTGGGGAGGAGGGGGGGTGTGTTGGGGAGGAGGGGGTGGTGTGTTGGGGAGGAGGGTGGTGGTGTGTATGTGGGAGAGGAGGAACTGTGATGTATGAGTGTGTTTGTGGGAGGAGTAAATGTATGTGGGGAGGAAGGTGTAGTAAGTGTGTGTAAAAGCTAGAGTGTCTGTGTGCTTATGTGCGTAAGATAATGCGTATATGTTTGTTTAACAGAGGGGGAGGTGTGTGTGTGTGTGTGTGTGTGTAGGGTAGGCTTCAAGGATCCCCTCCCCAGGTATAGGAAGGTGGAGAGGCGTGAGGGTAACCCGAGTCTATCAATACACCTGAAATATTGACTCAACTGTCTATTCTGTCGCCAATTAACTAGGAGGTCCGACAGGTGAATGAAGGACCTACTAACGAGTTTTACATTTACGACCATTCAAGTGTGTCTTATAGGTGTGTTGTTGTTCTGTAGGTGTGGTGGCTCCTCAGCTTACCTTTCTTCAGGTGTGTTCTGCAGGTGTGCCACTAAAGAAGATACACATTGTCTTCCTTGCTGTACTATTTTTATTCTCTCATAATATATAAAAACACGGCTATGATGAACAACTTTTTTCAACCTTTTTTTTTCAATGTTATGAAAGTAGGAGAATAATTCCATAAACACCACCAGCATCTCCCACAATGCTCCACAAACACCATTAACTCCCACAATGCTCCACAAACACCAGCATCTCCCACAATGCCCCACAAACACCAGTACCTCCCTCCCTCAAGCTCCCTCAAACACCAACAATTGTCACAACGCTCCGCCAACACACACACAGGCAGCAGCACAAAATCTAATCACACGTTGTCTGCGTCCCATCGCCATTAAAAAGCCATCATGCACCACCAGGACTCACTCAGATAGCACCTGTAGCGAGGGCCTTCACCGCCTTTATTAACGCCACAGTGAGAGAATGTGTCT